AGTATGGATATCCCACGGGAATCGTATATTTTTCTGGGATAAAAGTAACCTATGTGCTATTCCAGACTATATATATCTCTCTGTGCCAAATTTCATCCAAACTGTCACATTTATAATATGAATGGGAGAATGGCATTAATTGTTATATTAATTGTAAAAATTATTATCTTTATATTAAAGTGTGAAGATCTATGGGTTCAAATAGTTTAAAAAGTAGAGTTTTGATGATATACCAGTATCTTTATAGAATCGTTTCATATTAAAGACATAATATTAGAAAGCCAGTGTACTTACTTCTTGAACACATCAATAGTTTGTAATAATCAGAAAACCGTGATGAGTGTACACCAGACCTTATATTTTGTGATTGCTAAAATACAGGTTATCAAATACAAAACACCTTATTTGGAAGAGAAATGTTAATATTATAAGTCCATAATTCATACTAATTTATACTGTAGCATTATATAGGAACTTAAGTATGATTCTTGAGTCTTGTACGATTCATACATACAATTTTTATTGAAAGATTTCAAAAAAGAGGATATAGTCAATTCGGGTGTGTGTTTTTTGTGCGTTACGCTATTTTCTTGCCAATTATATCTAAACCGATTTCATGATTCCTCTATCAGTAACTACTTTCAAAGTGATTTTCTAAAAAAAAAATAATTAACTGTTGTAGAATATTTGATTATACTCGTATGTATAAACTTAGAAAACCTATCAATAAATTTTCTGCAGGAAATTAAAGTATAAGTCTAGATCTAATTTATACTCACAATCAATAGTTACAAGCGATAATAGCTATGTACTTAGTTTAACGGACACTTGGCGCCGGCGCCTGCGCGTGCGCATGTCCTGTGACTTATAACAATATATAAGTGGTTTGCGATGCGAATGCTTAGATATTAATTGCAATTATCTATACATATAAATATAATGAACTAAGTTTGTTCGTTGAGTATATATTCATTTTTTTTATTTTGTCGTTAATTTGTTATATACATTAAAGTAGAATTATGAAATTAATTATTATTAACGCAGACGAGTTATTTTATCAAAGTCACTAAGCTATATATCGGTGCAGTGATGTAAAATGGATCTCAGACTGTAGTGGGATTTTAGTCCCGCAGCTGATTTTCAGTGACCTCCAGTTGTATATGACGTCGTATAGGATACATTTATCAAACGTGAGCGAAGTCGCAAGCCAAAAGTTATTAAAATTAAAACACTGTCATTTAAATTTACAGTGTATAATAGAGTAGGCTGCGCAAGCGCATATTATGTTTGATGTTGTTTATTAAACTCAATATTTTTCTGTAGAAACATTTTTCAATTGTGTGATATTAAAGAATATTTATATGGGTGTCGATTTGAAATAAGTTTTCTCCACAGTTTCCATAGTAGTTTAATATTAAATGTCATTAAGTTTCATTATAGTTGTTTTTGTAACGATATATGCTATCCAATTTCTTTATATGGGTTGACGCATCTATACTAGTATAGTTATTAGTATTGTCATCTAGCCCAGAAGGAAAGGCTTTTATAGTACAATAAAAAAGTAGAGAAAAGTGAGATTTTGTAGAACAAAAACGAGTCCACAACCTCTTCGTCTGTCGAAAATAATTTCATATTGAACGAGCGACTCACCCTCGCTTCGCTCGGGTTCGTCCCTAGGTTGATCCCCCATACAAACTGTCATCCCCATTTTGACCCCCTTAAGGAATGATTTCTGGAATAAAAAATATCCTATGTCCTTTCCAGGGTTTCAAGCTATCTTTTTACTAAACTTCATTTAAATCGTTCCAGTAGTTTTTGAGTTTATTCCTTACAAACATACAAAAATACAAATCTTTCCTCTTTGTAATGGTAGTGTAAATAGAGTTAGGATGGATATCTTATACATATGTAAAAAATCTATAGAAGTAAAACAATTTCTCAGCCTATCTCCTAAAGGGAAACAAAATGTCAATATTATATGACCGCTTTTAAATTAATTGAATATTCAACTTAATTATGCACTCTACATTATCTAACTCTATATAAGGCAGACCATTACGATAATAGAGCTATGTAATCATTTTGCTACATTTAGAATTATTGTAATTGTAGATAAATGATCATAAATTACGCTACCATGTGTATTTATAGGTCTATATAGGTTAGATTCGATTCTTGAGTGAGGCAAATGGTTGAAAATATGACTGTAAATAAAGAAACGTCTAATAATTTCTTACATTTATGCGAATATTTGACATTTTGAAAGTACATTTTCGGATTTTCGGAATAAAATCAATTTTATTCAGCGTTAAATCACGGTAATGTTATGCATACATTACCGTGTCAAATTATGAAATTGTGTAGGTACTGAACTCCATTTGTCCACCAACAGTTCGGAAAGAAAAAGCTATTATGGTCCTAACTGTTGCAAAAAATTTAGCGGGTCTAAATTACATATTTCTTATTTTAATAGCTACGATTTAAAGATTATTGTAATGGAATAATAAACTTATAAATAAACCTATCTTTTCGGATTTTTTCGTGGATCCAATCGCGGATTGAAACGTCGGTGATCAAAAATCAAAATAAATCAGCGAAAAAGAAGAAAAATAAACTTTACAGAAAAAATCTTAGAAAGTTTTAAATAAAACTATCTTTTCGGATTTTTTCGTGGATTTATTTTGATTTTTGGTTCCCGACGTTTCAAATGTTTTACAGCAATTATGGTCAAGGGAAATACTAAGGTTTTAGATTTCTCAAAGTTTATAAAAGCCTTTAATAATAAAAAAAGAATTAAAATCCGAAACGTTTTATTTAAAACTGTCAAATATTCGCGTAAATCTAAGAACAAGAAAAATATTATAACCTATATATATATATTTATATATATATATATATATATATATATATATATATATATATATATATATATATATAAGAATTTGCACGTAATCCAGCGGGATTTAGCTAGTTTGTTATATTCTAACTCAATTATTGCAAAACAATAAACACTCGACTATCCAAACGTGTGAATCATTCATCATAAGATGTAGTACTACTTGAGCTAACTGGTACCTCCATCTTTTACATCAACTAAGCAATTAAAATATTCCATCTAATTTAAACTTTATTGCTATATCAATAGAGATATCTTTACAATAATGTCTTCTCTTTATAAGATTATAATTCATAATGATCGTCTCATTTCTCCTTTCGAATTCTGAAAATTGGTGAGAAAATGAAAATCATTTTGGAATCTATTTTTGAGGTGTTAGAGTTCTAAATCCACTGATTAGTTATAGCTGATGTGGGCTAATAATTACGAACCCATTTGTCAATAGGCTACAGTAAATTATTTTGTAAATCTATTAAGAATTTTTATTAGTTTTTGTATATGTTTTATTTACTTAGCTTAAACGAAAATAGTGATTTGTTACGTCGTTTTTTCACATTCTCTTACTTAGACTGATTAATTTAAAATTATTTGTATTTATTATATAATTAATTTATAATAATGTATTTTCACCCCTTTTAAGGAATGGTTTCTGGGATAAAAACTATCCTATGTCCTTCCCAGGGTCTCAAACTATCTTCTTACCAAATTTAATCTAAATCGGTTCAGTAGTTTCGGAGCCTATTCAGTAAAGGCAAATTTTCTTATTAACAGTAACCTACATGTAACCCCAGATCACAATCTATTTGTGTATTTTTTAATCCAAATCCGTCCAGCTGCTTGTACGTGAAGGACTAACAAACGAACATACATACATATGTTCGCATTTAATAATAGTACTTAGTTAAAATTATTCAAAGTGTTGAAGTAAGAAAACTGATTTTGATTATAAATATATTAAATAAAACTATCTTTTCGGATTTTTTCGCGAATTTATTTAGATTTTTGGTTCCCGACGTTTCGAATGCTTTACAGCATCCATGGTCATATTGGTCATATAAATCTAAGAAAGTATCATATTAAATATATTCTATATCTGTAGGATCAATGTAATTTCTTTCTGAAATCTGAAAAAAGCTGTGTTAAATTCAAAAAATTGCTTCAATACTTAGTAACAACTTTGTTATTAACAGGTTATATACAAAAAATGTATGTACATTTACAAGATTCTTTCTTATGACATAAAAATAAAAAATCAGACAAACAGTTACTAAAGACCCAAGGCGTTTAAAAACAGACAACTATTTACGTGAGAAAACTACCTTTCAATTCAAAAGATCCTTTGTAAATTCGAAGGCGAGTTGTAGACAATGCAGCCCTTGCAAAACGTTCTCTAAGGTAAATGAAGCATTTCTGAAACATAAGAGCTGAGTGATTTAGTATGAAAGGATTGAGTTATGGACAAATCTAGTTTCATGAGTTTGTTTAAATATTACTCATTTGTTTGGCGATGTTTGAATGTAAATAGGTGTTTTTAAAAAGACAGTGTTAGCCCAGTGATAAGGCGCTCGCTTGGGAAACCCAGTGAAGCGAGTTCAAATACCGGGCCTCGCATTTTTTGAAAGACATGTTAAGTCCGCCAACCTGCACTTGGCCAGTGTGGTGGACTATGGCCTGATTCCCCTCCTATTGAAGGGTGGCCCATGCCCAGCAGTGGGACGTTAAAAAAGGACTGAATACAAGTATCTTTATAACTCTTTAGGTGTAATGTTAGAAATATATCAATGAGATGAGATAAAGATAGAGATTTTTTAACGCTAAATCTATGTTTTTGGGTTTTTTCGCGGATTTATTTTGATTTTTTATTTTATTTAGAAATATCATATTAAGTCTCTCCACGATGTCAGCGACAGTGTACAAATACCAAAGCAATTATAAATATTTATCTTTTTTTGAAAGTCGGTTAATAGACAGTATAACTGTTAAAACAACTTAACTAGATCTATCTTGGAAAGTTAAGAAATAGGGTCAAAAAAACCTCGTCTTTAGCTTAGTTAGAGGACGCCAAATTTGGTATCTCATTACCGGTGTCAAATATGGCCAGTAAATGGTATGTGGCGCCACAGTTCAAGAATTAATCACTATTTTTCTATTGCACGTCCATTTGGCTGTTCGAACTGAAAGTCTAATGATACGGTTTCATTGAATTTATTATTATAAAAAGTTCAACTGAAGTCCGTCTGTCTATAAATGAGTTAATAGAAATAATTTAATGGCAAGAGCTTTTAGGTATTGAGCTGATTGGTTTTGGTGTAATTTTGCAATTACTAGTGGTTTTCTATTTAAGTTAGCTTTCGGCCTCGATTTTCCGCGACGGATATACAGAAAAACGTCTCCAAAATTATATTATGCTTTATTATGTCATCAAATCTAAGAAAATAGTCAACGATAGAGTCAATAATTAAATAACGATAATGTAGTGTAAGTAAAAATAAATATTCAATCAACTATTTCCGTTTGAAATTGTATGGTCATGTTAACGCCATTAAAGCCGATGCTTTAAAATTACTCGGACAAAAAACTAACAAGAGTTTGAATGCTAAGCAAATATACACAACTTTAGAGTAATCATACCATAATTATAGAGAAATTAGTTATGCTCTATATACCATTTATATCGTTAAGACAATTATAAGTTAATACTTGTAGCTATAAATCTATTTTTTTGTTACAGCACGCGAACGCAGTACGTGAATCAGCTCGTCTTATCCTAGATGCTCCAGCACCAGAATCTGAAGATGCCTTGACCTTGGCAAAAGCCCTTCGCACTAGACCTCCAGTCAATATGCTACCTGCAGCCAAAGCTGGCACTTTCTTTGCAAGAGACAATCTATCCAACTTCATTGAGTGGTGCCGCAGGGCTCTCGGTATCCTTGAATGTCTTCTATTCGAAACTGATGATTTATGTCTAAGAAAAAACGAAAAACATGTAGTTCTATGTCTTCTAGAAGTTGCTAGAAAAGGTGCAGTTTTGGGTATGCCAGCTCCACTGCTGGTTCAAATGGAGAAGCAAATTGAGAGAGAATTAGCCGGAGAAGAATTGCGGCCTGATGATTCTGCTTTAGGCTTGGTTCCTTCTGGACCGCAGCCACAGCTGGTGACAAATGATTTGAGAAGTTTAGATGAAAGAGTCAGAGACCTGGTTGAGAGATGCTCCTGCCCCACACAGTTCCCTATGGTGCGGGTGTCTGAAGGAAAATACAGGATTGGTGACACAAGGATGCTGATTTTCGTCAGAGTAAGTATTCCATGCGTAATTGAAACATATAAAATTTAGAAAAAAAATGTAATTCCTTATGTTTTATAAACAAAAATAATCAAACAGATACTGGACGAAACCTAGTTCATTCCATGCTTTATAACACTTAGAGGTGATCAGGAAGACTACATGACATTGATGTATCACTATGCACTTGTTATTCCACATGGCAAGTGAATTAAACGACGCCGTCTAATTAGTTGCGTAAATATAACTTGCTGATTATTTATCTCAACGATTACGTTAAGACAGAGATCACATCATGTTATTATAGATCTGCATAATATGCCTGAGATCACTTAGATCATTTAGATGCCCATATAAGGCGTTTCATTTTCTTATCTTAGTATCATAGCGGAAGACACCCAGTAACGGACTTCTTAATATGACACTCTTTGGGTATTAAGTTTAGTCCCCGTTGTTTAATTTAAAACTAAAGCAATTGTATTGAATAAAAGAAATTTTAATTTACTTTAACACTACTAGTAATTATGAATGCAAAAGTTTTTTGTGTGTATGTTTTATACTCCTTCGCGTTTCGAGCGGCTGGACTGTTATGGATAAAATTTGTACAGAAATAAATTGTCTGCAGTAACATATAGCTACTATTAGTAATAAAATTTGCTTCAAGGTGCAGCGCCACATTTTTGTATAATTACTAGCGACTCACCTTCGCTTCGCTCGGGTTCGTCATTAGCTTGCTTCCCGATACAAACTTTTATTCCCATTTTCACCTCCTTAAGGGATGATTTCGGGGATAAAAAGTATTCTATGTCCTTCCTAGGGTCTCAAACTATCTTACCAAATTTCATCTATATCGGTTCAGTAGATCCAGAGATTATCCCCTAAAATATCACAAACTCACAAACTTTACCTCTTTATAATATTCTTACAGATTAAAATACATAAGGACGAACCCAAGCGAAACGGGGGTAAAGCGTTAATAACATAAGTCTGAGTAGTTGAAGGAACTTAAATAAATAATTATAATAAAATAACAAATGCAAATAGTGAAATATTTGTGAATACTCATATCAATGACATCGTGGGAAAATTACGGAGCTAAGTAACTATATATACAAACATACCAGAATAGTTTACTTAGTTTGTAGCTTAGAAAAATGGGCGATATTCAGTAAAGCATAAGCGTTAGAATTGGCTGGTGTAGCCACTTGTTTACCGACCTCGTTTTATCGCCGTTTAGGTCTGAGCCTTGTCCCTTAATACGGACTGATTGACAGTCCAAATCGAAATACCAATATATCTCGACCCCTATACCCATAAAACGATCATGCTCTGAGGTACTTCGATAAGTTGGTCGGAAATACTGACCAATATAAAATGAAACGTCTAAAAATAACGCGTCAGAATTGCAATTTTTCTAATTAAGTCACAATTTCATAGTGAATCATGGCAAAGACATTTCAGTCTTAAGGTCTATTTGTAACTAAGTAAAACTAGCTGTTGATAACGGATTTGTTCGTGATGTTAATAAATTTACATGTTCTGAAATATTGTAATTTGATAAAAAAAAACCATATTATCTTATAGGAAATTTGCAATTATAACAGCTACAATAAAAAAACTAGTGTTGGCCATAATTGGAATAATTAAAAAAAAAGAAAAATTTCAATATAATTTAACAAAATATCATATTTGTAATTTGATATATTAGGTTATTAATAATATACATACGTAAAAAACAAAAAACAGGATTTAGGTCAGAAGTTTCTATTCTCATATTATTATAAGTAGTAAAGTTTTATAAGGAATAAGTATAATGATGGAATACTGAATTTTCAATCTTATTCCAAAATGATCGAGTGTCATGAACCACAAGCCACATATAAAGGCCAAACACCAAACCATTTGTACAATATCAGGCGATTTGATTTGCCCAAACAAGGAATCGAACGGACGCATGATTCATCGATACCTTACCATAAGTGATGGTCCGCTTATAGATTAAAATAGACCAGTTATGTAATATCGATAGTAAATTATAAACACGTGTGGCTTTATCGCCAGAAGCTATTAATGTTTTAATTAAAATCATTAATTTTATTAAACGCATTAAATTCTTTTAAGGAAATCCTAAAAAGATAAGATAAGAAGCTAGAAATATTTATGCAAATAATTCTCAAAATACTCAATTATTTCGATATATTTTCTTATATTACCTATTTTATTTACAGATTCTGCGTTCCCACGTCATGGTACGTGTTGGTGGAGGGTGGGACACTCTCGCCCATTATCTGGACAAACACGACCCTTGCCGTTGTAAAGCCCAACATCGAACTTCGCTCTCAGCTCGCCTGGCTCGACCGAAACACGACCTCGCTGGCGCCACAGTCACATATGAACGACCTGACCCTGGACCAACTTCCCTTCCATACAAAGATTACAAAGAACCCAAAACTTACGAGCCAATGTCATTACAATACAATTCAAAGCTTTATGCCGACGATCCAAAATCCGGACACTATCAATCGAATAACAAATTGGACGGCAATAGCTTACCATATTTGGGTGATGTTGACAGAGCTGCATCTCCTAATAGGAAATACCTTGCTCCAAGGAACAACAGTCCAGGAAGACATTCTTCTTCCCCAGATCGTAGAACCAAGATCGTATCTTCGAACCATTTAGTCCCATCACCTCATGCTGTGAGGAATAAGAGCCCAAGGCCAGTGTCTCCAGCACCAGCTACTGAGAGTGCCTCAGATAATGGATCTGAAGTGTCAGATGAGGGATACAGAAGTCTGGGAGTTGTAGTCGGATCGACTCAAGGATCCCCATCAACGAAAACTACGAACAGATATTCGATGCATAGTCAAAATTCTATGGACGACGCTGATTTTAGTGGTAAGTTATTAAGTACTTAAGTAATTTATGTTTTACGGGTATTATATCGAATCGCGTTCCCAACTTGTGCCAAATATTCGTTTAATTGGGTCATTTTAATCAAATTGATAATTTCCATATGATTTTAAATGAATTGAAGGTCCATTGTAAAGGGCAAATATTTCGTGTTTAGCTCAGTTAAATTTGGCCCCGGTCTGGTGGAAACTATTATAAGTATAGTCTTTCTATCGATTATCAAACGGTTAGAAGATTAAATGAGGCATAATGTTTTTTTACCGACACTTATAACATTTTACAAATCCGTACACATAATCTATCTACTATGGTAATATTTCGTGTAGGATAGAGTATGTTCATTCTTTACAACATATTCTAAATGGGCTACCTCAAATCAAACCAACATTTTATAAAAAATGTAATTCATTCATTTCCGATTAATTTCAATTTCGATGGCGTATAAGTAATTACCTATTTCCAGGTAAATTATAAATAAAACTATAATATAGAGTCTAATCAAAATAAAACATACAAATTATGGGTACAGGATGTTAGCAATTCTAAGATGAATCTTTTTTTATATATCTTTAAAATAATATATGTAAGCAAAACAAGAGGGAATCGTTCGTATATAACGAAGTACTTCCGTCCGTTTCGCTATGTGGTTTGCTTGTTATGGTAATGTTTCTGGTGCATTGTGCAGCCATTTTGTAGTTCATTGATTACATCAAATGACTGGTTACGATCTAATGTAGCTTAAAGTTACAGTATGTAAATTTTTATAGTAAATTAGTTAATTTTTATAACGATTTTATTTTTACGTAATTGGTTTTTAGGAGCCTTATTCGTGGATTATGTTAAATATTATTTTTATGTTAAAGATAAAAAGTGTGACCTAAAATTTCCCTGTAGCATACCAACTTTTGATTTAGTGTTTTCACAAATTATAATTTAAGATTTATATAATACCTACTATCATCATACCAAATTTTATCAAAATCTGTCTAGTTTTCTCGTGATGCGGTCACAGACAGACAGACAAAAATTCTAAAAACTATAGATTCGACCTCTGTATCGATAATAATTACTATTTCAATAAGCTGTTCCAAAAAATATTTATATTAAATCATATTCGACTCAGAAGTTTATTATATGAAAAAAATGGCATAAGTTATCTCGTATTGATTTACATGTTTTTTAAATGCTTAATTGTAAATTTAAATACAAGTATTATTGATGTTTAAACGTTTCTGAAGTGTTAAATAACAGTAAAAATATTTGCGTTGTTAGCAAAAGTGTAAGAAAGTGATCTTTGTTTGCTTTATCATAAAGCTTTAGAACTGTCGACTATGTAAGGCTTTTCTTAAATTTTCTACAAACTTTGTTATGTAAACGAAAATTTGCTTTACTATTAATTATCGCTTAGAAAATAATAAATAATTGACGATACGTTTGGCTCAGTTTGTAGTGGCCCTTCTTGCTATGCCAGCGGTCGCGGGTTCGAGTCCCGCTGAGGGAATTTATTTGTGTGATAAACACGAATGTTTATACTGCCGTCATGGGTTTTATATTTATAATATGTATGTATATAAAGTTATATATGTGTGGTGTATCAACTACCTGGTATCCATAACACAGGCCTATTAATGTCAAAAAAAAAATTACTTTGCTATTTCTTCGTTAAAATCTTAATATTATTTAGTATATGTACATATAAATATAAATACTACGAATTCATACTTTATACGCTACAATTATATGATACATAATAGCTTAACCTAAAGATACTTTTATGTTAATATCAAATCCATTTATTCAGTATCACAGTTATAACTGATCAACCAGAAGAGAAAATACCTTGGTCCTAAAAAGAACTCGTAAACAAAAGATATAAATATAGAGATATATATTAATAATAAAGACACAAATGTGGATCTGATTTTATTTTCGCTTTGTTATGTGTTTTAAAACACCAATGACCCCATGACCCAATAACTTAGATTATTGCTAGATTAACAAAAAAATAAAAACCGACTTCAAACAAAAGCACTAAAAAGTAAAAAATAACTGATTGGTAGTTTTCATTTACTATACATACCTAATCAAATATATTTGAAGTCGGTGTGCTTTGCTTTATATGGCCTGGCACCGATTTCGAAAATATTTGATTAGGTATGTATTTAATAGGTAGGCTTTAATTACTTAGCCAAAGCACACCGACTTCGAATATATTTGATTAGGTATGTATAGTAAATAATAACTACCAATCAGTTATTTTTTACTTTTTAGTGCTTTTTTTTGAAGTCGGTTTTTATTTTTTTGTTAAAAAGTTTTTATTTTTCCCTTATTAGTGTAGACCGTAGTAGCAAAGTAAGAATTCTAACGTATTAGGCTTGTCAAATCAAACAAAACAAACCCAAACTCAAAGTATCTACTATTAGCCGTTGAAGAGTTCCGCCTATCCACCTTCTGGCCTTACCATCAGATCAGGTCAACAATACCGAACCACTGTACTATCAACGGAAATAGAAACACTTGCAAAGTTTCAAGTCAATATGACAAATAGAAGTAGGTTAAATTCATCATTAGTTGTTTTTCCACCGTTAGGGGTGGTTTTTTTTTTGAAATTTAAATGGGACCAATCTGAAAGTATACACTTTCAAACAACACAAAAATTGTTCAAATCGGTTAATAAATGACGGAGTTCTGAGGTAACAAACATAAAAAAAAACATGCAGTCGAATTGAGAACCTCCTACTTTTTGAAGTCGGTTGAAAATTGTTATCTATTTTATTTAACTAGTTTTTGCTTAGTGGTTGAAATTCCACCATGAGCATTGTTGAATATTTGAGGTAAAATATACACGATTAGAATTTACCTATCTTTATAAAAAAAACATTTCAAAGAAAATTGTATGGATAACACTATTGACGAGCTTATAATGACAACAAAACTTTTCTATATATATATATATATATATATATATATATATATTTTACTCGTATATATATATATATATATATATATATATATATATACGAGTAAAATAATGAAAAATCGGGTGGGGCTGTGTCGGGACATACCGCCGTTGGTTAATGTGAAACGACTTTGTACAGCACAAGCTGAGGCCGACTTATAGATTTTTTATATTCTTATTATACTTTCTGGTTATTATTTCCTATAAATTTTGTCCAAATTACACGTATTTTTATTTATATCGATCGGTCGGAATAAACTCTATAAACACATAAAATCAGGGTGCTACCACGTGTAAGACGTGAGTTACACCAAATAGGAGCGAAAACGGCGATTATAGTTATATATATTGAGCCGTTATAAATGTTTTGCATATTTGGAAACAAATTAGTAAAAATAGTAATCTTTGAAGAAAGCGACGGAAATACGAAATAGTTATTTTAATTGTACTATAGGAGTTAGACATATGCTATTGTGGACTTTTCTGTAGGCCTTTTTTAGAACTACAATTTTTAGTACATTGTTTTGATGTATCTCTTAAAGTTTAGCCAGCATTAGACATGTAAACAAAGGACTATTCGATAGAACCAGTGATAGTGAAAAATGAAAGATTTCCCTGCAGCAAAAGATATAATAAATGTTGACTCGAGTAATAAGTTATCACCACACAAAATTTAGTCAAAATCGGTTTAGTATGTTTTGCGTGAAACGCGCACACCCAAACAGACATACAGCTCAATAAACATATGTTTACCCTCGGCCTCAGTCAGACCGCAATGTGCAGACTATGCCATGAGACAGAGGAAACTGCTATGCACATCCTCTGCTCGAGCGGTCCACTCATGCACCGTATCTATCTAGGGCAGCATATTATGCAACCGGAAGAGATATAGATGCTCCCCGCTCAGAAAATCTGAAAGTTCCTGGAGTCAAGAGGACTAAGCGGAGAACTTTAATTCATTCCAAAGGGAGCTACAATGGACCATAACTGGTCGACGTAGCTAGGGCCGACCTCGGCACCACACCCAATAAAATAAATAAATAATAAATAAACAGACATACAGACAAAAATTTCAATAACTATTGTTTTGGGATCTATATTCTGTACACAATAAGTCACAAAAATATTTGTAATATTTATACTGTTTTATTAAATGTATTGATTAGGAATTACGACATACGCCTTAGCTTCTTCCTTCTGCATATTTAGATTATAATCTGACGCAATAGTCCTAAGTGACATTTAGGTAATGTCACAGTACTTCCATGCTTGTTATCGAACAATAGGTCGATTCCAAATATAAATATATTATGCGCAACAATTTGCGTATGAATATTATTATCGATGATTATGGTGTATCAAAACGGCTAACAATTTTCTAGACTCCTCCATATCTTCCAGTCAATATCTTAATAAGCCACATGTTGAAAATAATCATTACTATCACTTCTTTTAGATGTTCGCAATAAATTTTATGCGTAATTATCTGTTTTATACTTCTAATGATTGTTAGTGTCTTGCGAGCATCTTTTGCTTTCTAACTGAGTATCTTTACTATGTTACTTTATCCCGCTCTCCCTTTTTTTTCTCTCGCCCTTCTTTTCTTCTATCGCTCTTTTTTTATTCTATCTTTTTCTAAACATGATATGTTATAATTGAAAACTACTTTATAGTAGTTCTTGTTTCTTAATATTAAATAATAGAAATTAATTTCTCATATATTTTGAAATTGTTATAAAAAGCGGAGCTTTTTTGTGTATAATACAAAGATTACTTGAAAGAGTTATGAAAAGAGTAGAGTTGGTAGCAACAGCATATAATTTTTAAGCTAATTATATATTTTTAGCGATTCATCCTCGCTTTGCTCGTTTGCGTCTCTAGGGAAGTTTTTTTTAACAAGGACTTTTCGCAGGAGTACGTTGGACAATTCACGAAAGTTTCATCACAATCGGATGAATAGTTTAACAACGCATAGAGGACAAACATACATAGAAACAATGATTTTTATTTATGTAGATGTAATAGTCATACATATAACAATAGGTTTTCGAAATCGAAAATCAAACAAGTGAAAGGACAATTCAAGTCGAAAGCTAAACTTAGGTCCTTGATAAGAACAATGCTACCGTTTAGTGTTAAGGCTTTTCCTAAAATATGAACCTTAACAGCTAATTTTTTGGGTTCAAATTACTTAAATACAAATGTATGAGAACTCGTTCAAACGTGAGAGTATTTGAAAACATCGGGGGGTGAATCAACATTCTTTAAAGAACACAATGTGGCAGACCAAATAAAGCATGGGTTAAGGTTTTGTACGTTTGTAATTATGTCTGCGAACTTCAAAATTTGGCATTCATTTGTTTTTCATTTGTGAAATATTATAATATATGTATACCTACTAGCGACCCCGTTTCGCTTGCGGCTTTGCCTGGGTGGTTTATATTTATAATGTTATATATATTCAGAGGTACTTTTTGGCAAATATTGTTATGAAAAGTAACGTGAACAGAACAGCTCACGTGATACTCCAGGTCTCCAGGTCCAGGTCTATCTTTTACAAAAATTTATCAAAATATGTTCAGCAGCTTCAGCGTGGGAATAGCAAATACAACTTTAGGATTTCTATTATTTGATTAAATAAAGAAATACATAATACAGCACGTTAAAATAGTTAAATACATATTTGGCGCAAGACGTTTAGGCGATACAATTTAGAATAGGTTATTGTATAAGAGAGAAGAATGTTACACGAACAATGAACAGACTAACACGTTGAGAAAAGATGATACCTAGTATACGATGGGGCACAGTCTTAAATAGACCAATTCTCTCATTAAAAAAGAAGAAGATAATTAATAGACAAAAAAAAGATAAAAGAAGATATTTCAACCCTTTTATAGATGCTATAAAAGTTGTAACTAAAAAGTCCAAGAAGAAGAATCTAAAATGAAAAGTTAGACATATTTATAAAAATAGTCAATTAAAAGTTTTTTTTTTACTAAATAGATAACAAATATAATTGGAAATATTTTAAATAATCCATTATTTATATAGGCTTATAATACTACACATATTTTACATTTGGTTATCAAAAATACTATTCTAGTTCAACTTAGATAGCGTCAGTAAACATAGTAATGACAAATAATTTTAAGATTATTTTAAAGATTATATTGTAGATTAGATATAACTAATGTTTATTGCAAAAATTAATAGAAAACTTATGCTTCGACATGATTAAATAATTCATAAGTTCATAAAAGCAACACAAGACCCCCACGACGCGCGTATACTGTCAACACTTTGCGCACGACACTAAGAATAATATAATGGCAATACAAAACATAAAAGGCAATAAGCTAGAAGGCGAACCAGGAACTAGAAACATAATGGATCGACATACGATTATTCGCATAATCTAATCTAAAGACAATGCAGATATAACGACTTATAGATCGTTTAAGTGCTGCGTGTAACCGTATACTCAATTGAAAGTTTTATCTGAACCTGTTGATTAAATTGTCTAAAACCGTTGGTTGTAGAATCGTTTCTAGTTAAAGGCAATTTTAAAAGTTTTGGGTTTTAAAAGCCTTGAATATGACCAGTTAGAAGATGTTAGTAATGTATGTGTAGTATCTTTGTATTCTAGAAACAGTATTTTATATGATTTTGTCCACAATATTACGGGTGACTAATTCTTTTAAAACTGTGTTAATTGTCCAATATTTTGAAATGTTTTAAGTTATATCATTGTTTTTTTCAGAGCGTCTCGACCATGACGACAGCTGTCACCTAGATAAAAGTGACCGCGTTGATGACTATGTCAGCTTAAATACTGGATTACGCAAAACTGACTTCTCTGACACATTCTACGGCGGCAGAAAGAACAGCGCAGAGGACAAGTCAAATCGAGCGAGCCCAGAATGCATAATTAGCCACGAAAGCAACAATTCACCTAGCAAAAGTCTTAGGCCCAACCGTGAAGCATCGCAATCTCCTGTTAAAACAATTAGAAGTAGACAAGCTAGTAGAATCCCACATTCTCCTGTGCGAAATCGAACTCCAAGCCGTGGGAACACCCCAAGTCCCAAGCACACTGCCAATCCACAATCGTCACCTAAATTGGCACCTAAGCTGCCGCCAACAGCTCGAAATACTTGGAGTGGCAGGACTGCTCCCACTCAGGCAAAGACCAAGTCTCGTCCAACTATTGGAGCAGATACTTTTGATAATCCAAACAAGTCGCCTAAGGGAAAACCAAAAGTCCAAAATGATTCTTTTAAGCGTAATTCACCTCTTAGAGCCAGCAGCGCCACTTTGAGGTCTCCAACCCACCAGAAAGCTTTAAGTCCTCTATTAGAACAAATTTTAAGATCTGCAGAAACCGCAAAAGATGATTCAGCAGTTTTGGAGAAAATGAAAGAAATAATTAGAACCTATTCGAAAGGAGAAGACTCTTTTTCACGAACTAGTTCGAAAGATTCAGATTATGCTGATTTTACATCGGCTTGGGTGATGTCTGATGGAAAACTAGAGAGATCTACCAGTACTAGACAATTGGCGGCTCCCAGAAAAGATCCCAGGACTGGAATGTCGAGGATACCAGCACCCGTCGCGATTGGATGCCGACGGTCCACTTCAACCTCCCAATTTCAATGACCTGATGAAGATCAGGAATGAAAAGACTGAGCCAATTCTTGTGTTTCATTCGAATCAAGTGATTAAAAGTGTTAGTGAATAGGATATTTATAGAAATGTGACGATTTTAACGCAAGAAATGGACTTTACTGCCTAAGCATAGTATATCTCTGTCATATCTTTGTAAAAGTAGATATAAAATTGTAAAAGGTTAAAAAAAATCGAATTTGCATTACTCTACGTAGATTAGTCTATAGAGTAGATTGCACTAATTCATAGATCTAGAAAATGGACTGAGCAATACTTTCATGAAATAGACCACTCTCTTGAAAGAGAGAAAGCGAAGCGGCCTATACTTGTCTTTTATTCCAATTCGAATTTATGAATGGAATGTAAAAAAAAAGAATATTATTGAAAATTTTAATATTATAATGAAATTTAAAATGGTTATAAATATCTGTCATTATTCGTATTTCAATAAAAACAGAAAACTTCTGGCCGCACATTCGTTTTGTCTATGTGGCTTTTCCGCCATTTTAACTGACGGCTGACAAACAAACACTCAGTCCACTCTCTATGTCTACGCACTAACTGTAGAGTGACGATGTCTTAAAAACACGCATGACAAGTAGATAATTGACAAAGGAAAATGTAATGACTATAGAAAAAGCAAGATGGTGCTATATAATTAGTTTAATTTAGTATTATTATAATTTGCGAAACATACGAAATGAAATAAAAAATTATGTTAAGTTTGTACGAATAAGATGTGTAATCTTTGCTATTATTTAAAAAACAATATGATAATATGCTTAGTTTTATATTAGTTTAATCCGTCTGTATGACGAATTATTTAAGATACAATTATTCTTAACCCGGTAATGAAGTAGGCATTTTTCGAGCTAGCGCCGGGAGAATTGGCAATTATTTCAGTAATCTCATTTTTTCTGGAAGTAGGATAATGGGTTAGAGCTTGTATTTGCATGATTAATTGCAAGTAAAAATTTAAAATATATTAATAGGTAGCATTACTATTTAAATTAATTAGAAAAACGGTACAATAATAAACAATCATCCATTATAATATGTCACGAAGAATATAGAATATAAATATTTTTTCACAGACTAAAAAGTCACAAGATAGCCGTCCTTGGAAATGGCGTATACATAAAGTCGTTTCGTTCGTTATAAATAAATAATTTAATGAAAAATTAAATTGATGTTCGAATCGACTAAGATATACGCATATTATTTAAAAATTAAAACTTTCTGTAGACGAGTATAAGTCGTTGCTTTATAAATGTTCTCTTTTGTATTGTTTATAGGTATTTTAATTTTGTATTATTTCTTGGGAACAAAAAACAGGCTTTTAGTTAATTCTGGAAATGTAAGGCTTCTAGAAAAAACAGCAAAATCCAATGCTTAATGTCAATGTCAGTGATATTGACAGCTTGGTAATGGTGAAATATCTTTATCTGTCTATGTTTAATATTACCTATTAAATAGAGAAAGGAAGAGTTTTTTCACTTATTTTTGTGTTTTCTGTAGAATTGATTGAACTTTTCCCTATAAGCATAGCTATAAAGATACTTTTAAACGCAATAAAAGCTTCGCTCGAAATCTGCACTATAACGCTCTGCCCTATAAACTTATTTAAGTAATAATAAAAAATCGATTATTTCGAAATAATACGTGGAAATGCGAATAAATAATTCGTAATTATATTTTTACGTTAAAGATCTTTGGAAATAACTAAATATGTAAGCATTTTCATTTGATAGGTTTTAATATTTGACGTAATATATAGTGAATTTCAATATTCGAATTAAAAATGGATTTATAAAGCCTTTCATTTAAAATGTTTATGTAACACTACACTCTCGTGGCTTTGTGGACTTTGCATAAGAAAATTTTTCGATTTTCTTCAATTATTAATTAATTATGCATAATAAAATAAAAATTAATCAATATCATATAATAATTGAGTTTAAGTACGTAAATTATAAGCAAATATAGAATATATTTTGATACTGTTTAAAGTATAGCGTAAGACGATTTTCTCAATTAAAATTTCGCTCATCACCATTTTGTGGAAGCTACAATTTTTTTTTTCTACTTATGCACTGAACACAAACTACCATCACGTCTTGATATTACTCACGAAGCTTATTTTTAAGTTAGTTTTTAATTTATTTTTACGTTTTTTTTTTTTTGTATTTTCGGTAATATCTTGACGTTTAAGTTAGCTCCAGTAATTGTACGGTCGTTACCAGTGAATATGCCATAGACTTTGTTACATTCAATAAAGCATTATGCATAATTTGTATGGTTCTTTTAATTTATATCTTTAAAAAATCTAGTTATTAGCCCTGAGGGACAGATTTGTATGGATCATACAATATCTTACAATTACTTTGGAGAAAAACAGTCATTATATTAAAATATTGTGCAAAGGCATTTTTTTAAATCAACACTATAAATAATAAAAACAATGAGTATCTACAAAAACATTTAAGAAACAATATAAATAAAATAAACATACGGCCATGTGTTTATCTGAAAACTATCAAGTAGTTTACCTAAACATTTTTTTATTAAATTTTATGTGCAGTAAGCATCGATCAAACAAGTACCTGCTGGTACACAATCAGCGACAAAAATGTCCTCACCGAATGAGCGCTCATTTATATATTTGAGCGCGCCTTTAATTTAAAAACTATTTTGTGAAAACAACTTTAAGTGTTGCATTTAAGGTTTAATTAATATTGTTGTATATTTATTTCAATTAGAATAATTACTTAAACACAATTGATGACAGTTTTAAAAGAACTTACACATGGAATTGTGTATTTAGTACTTTTTTTATCGATGGCATATGTATACTATAATTGTGGGAAATGGAGCAAAATACAAAGTGTCAAATCAATCAAGCTAGCTAAGAAAAATCATAGAGCGCCATCTATGAAACCCAGTACAACATTATTGACAAAGGGCAAAAGGGCTTCGTATTGTTATATGGAAGCTGGGTTGTACTTTCGAGAAGGCACTGCTTAAGCCAGATATGTAACATTTTTATTCTGTATACTGCATTCATAATATTATTTGAAAACAAAATATATAATATCCTGATAAAAATAAATAGCAATATCGACAATAGCAACATGTGTGCGTTATTTATCATTCAGGAATTACCTATATAATCATATGATTTTTTTAAAACATTCAATATTACACATTGCTTGAGCTGACAGCTTGTCAAGTCAACGCAATGATTACCTGTTAATTTTAAAGACTCATAAAATAAAAGAAATGATAAATATGGTTAAAACTTATAAAGCGAAATAACTTCCCTTTGCAGTAGTAGAGGCCGGTAGAGTCGAAGTGCTTAACGCTTCTTAAAAGACATAATACTTTGTCATATCACCTCTACTGGTGATAAGAGAGCTGGCTCGTTTTCCGCATAAAAGTCAGCATTGCCTTTCAGCGAGGGAATGTAGCTCTAGAAATTCTTGCCACTAATTCTATTGAACATGACTTGTACAGTAATTATTTTCTTGTAAATATAAAAAGCACTTATATCGGTTTATTCATTCTCTGTTAATGAACTAAACCACAGACAGACAAATCATTTTTCGATGTGATATCCATCAAAAACCTTCTTTTCAATAGAATATTTAAGAAATATAATTTGACAACGTCACAAGCAAAATCATGCCGGACTGAAAATAAATATAGTAATATTATGCTCAGAAGATGAGTTCAAGGCTCTTGGTAACTCACTTTTGGGAGACCTCCTTTTTTCTTCTAATTATTTTCGCCGCTTTCTTATCTATCAGAGGGTTGTTGACGGTTACCAGGAACTCTAGGATACCTTGCTAAGTAAGTTTGTAATACACGTATTGATAAACATATTATAAACTAGCATTACCCGCGGCTCCGCCCACGTTCAAATGACCAAAAACCAAATTCTTAGGTTTTACATATTAGTATACTCTTACATTACAATTTTTGTATTTTTTCTCAGAAATGAGATATTTTACCGCGGTAAAAAGTACCCTATATGTTGACCTGAATAACCAGCTATCACCATACCAAATTTCATCAAAATACCTCTAGTGGTTTTTCTGTGATGCGGTAACAGACAGACAGACAGACAAAAATTCTAAAAACTACAGATTCGGCCTCTGTATCGATAATAATGTTTATTTCAATAAGATTTTCGAAAAAATATTTAATGTACAGATTCGGCTTAGTTACAATTTTATTATATGTATAGATGTGATGATTTTAACAGTTTATGACCTCAGTATTAAATTGTTAGAGGATTATGAACGAGTGCATATATCCCGTGTCTACATTTGATACAGATATACTTATATACTAATTCTTAAATTTCTTAAAGAAATAAATATATGTCTTTCAAAATTAAAGTATGAAATTCATTAAGCTCCGTACAGCTGTTAGAATACCAAGTATACGGACACTGAAGCAAACATACACGTCAAAGATAAAAATATAATATTAACAAAGTACCTAGTTATATTTGCAGATTTTACAATGGAAAGCGCATTAATGAATTTTGATGGCCTGATTTTGGGCCTTGTTTTGTATTTCCTGTTGGTTGGGTTGTGTAAGTGATGTTATATTTTGCTACTTAAATAATAGACTTATGCCCGATTTCACCAACAACCCATAAGCTACCACCTACGTATGGGATCCCCAGCTTAAAAGTCCCCTAAACTAGCCCCTAAATTAAATTTCGTTTTACGATCGTCTTTAAGCCCATATTTCGAGCACCTAAATTTAGGAGGCCTTTTAATATTAAGGTGACCCCTAACTGTCGGTGAAACAGAAACTGTCCTCTAATAGCCCCCTGACCATGCTTAGGGGATCCCTTAAACTTAGGTGACGTTGGTGAAATCGGACATTAGCCACTTTTTCATAGAACACAGACGGACAAAAAATATTTACTAATCTAATTTAAATAGGTCCTTAAAACCAATTTTGACATACTCAAACTTTTTTGTATGTAGGGGGTAACTCCTGGAACTATTGAACCGATTTCAAAATTTCTTTCACTAATAGAAAGCTCTATCTACACTATTCCTGATAGATATAGGCTATATTTTATTTTGAAATAGTTTCCAGTTTTAAATCTTAATATTTGCAAATCAAGTCGGAGTAAAATACGCTATATTTAGCGTAACAGCTATTGCCGTTTTAGCGGCCAAATAGTTGTCTGTATATTATTAAAATAATATATATAATAAGGGACGAACTCGAGCGAAGTGAGTGTGAGTCGCTAGTTATTATACAAAAAAAAACGACATACATGGTTAAATAATTGTAATATAGGCAAGTTGTACAAGGGAGTCAAAAAATAAAATTGAATTGCTGTCTCCTTAACTACTTTAGGTGACAGACGTTAAAAAACACATATACACGGATTTTTGTGTTTTGTCGCAATAATAAATTTGATATTCAGCCCTTTTTAATGTCGCACTGCTGCGAGGGGTATCAGGCCATAGTCCACAATGCTGGCAAAGTGCGGGTTGGCGGACGTCATAATATGTTTTTCGAAAACTTGGTAAATTCTCCCAGATATGTAGGTTTCCTCACGATGTTTTTCTTCACCGTAAGGCAAGCAGTAATTATGTTGGAAATAATTCTTTCAAGAAGTGCAACACCCGGAATTTGAGCCCACTTTACCCGGTTCGCCAAGCGAGCGCATTACCACTGAGCTACCACTGCCTCCGAATAATAATTTACTAAAATATATTTTTTCTAGTGATCATAATCAATGAGGCATTCTGTAAAGCGAGCTGTTTGAAAAATGCAAGGAGATTGCAACAACAAAATATAGCTGACATTGAATTGAATGAACGCAAACCAAAATGACCAAAACATGAAGAATCATTTGATATTTAAAAAACCCTAGGCAATAATGCTCAATATTATATGACAATTATTTATTATATACAACGCCATCTGTTAAAATATAAGTGTTTCATAAAGTTTTTTCTACTCCTCCATAGATGGCGCTGCTACTTTAGATATAAAATGAAACTATAAATTTATTTAAATTTTGTTTTATTTCAACTTATAAACTACACTTACATTATATATTTAATTAATTAAAGCAGTTTCAATAAGTACACTTTTCACCGCACTTAACTCCCAATTTTAATTTTAGTCTGATTCTCTTAAAATAATCTCGCAATATAATTAAAATATTATAACTAAATATGTTACGTTTTTTGATAACATATTTTATCCACAATAATTTGTTTGTTGTCTTAGAGCTAATATAATGATATCCCAGAATTATATAAATATATTGGAATATATAAAATATTACTTATAACGTCATTGTTAATTGTATTTGGAATAAAAACTATTACAATAATTTATTTGGCTCATTTTCTTTTTAAAATAACATAAAAAATCATTTTGTTCTTCATTAAATATTTCACTCTAAAACAACGATTACATGTACTCTTATATAATCGTGCCGCTCTGAAGTGCGCTTCAAATAGCTGTATAATAAATTACTAACAAAATAGCGTTTTACATACGCAAAGCATCGTAGATACAAACAAGAAAGGGAAAAAGAAGCTACAAATTTTTGCTTAAACAAATACTTCGCTTTTTTATAGGTCTTAAAAAAACTGGTCCCCATAAAATCCAATACCCAAAATGTCCTTATTTTAAACTAGTGACTTTTTATTTTTTTTGAGCGGAACCCTAATTCTTTTTCTAAAATAAACGTAGCATAAGTTACTCTTTATAATATCAGCTACCTCCCAATTAAAGTCTCGTCAAAATCAGTCCAGCTGTTTCGGAGATTAGTTGGAACAGACGGACAAACAGACAGATAAAAACATTTTGAATTGTGTTTTTCTTATAAGTAACGTATATAATTGGATATACATTTAGTTCAAAGCTATTTACAATGCATTTCATATCGGCATATTTTATATATGTGCAGCATGGCTTCCACTTATCTTCTTATATTTACGATATAAATCACAGTTTTACTCTTCTAAAAATATTTTATTCATTGGTACTTTGTCGAATATCTTATTGGTAACATCCTGGAACACCGAGCTCAGGCTCTTCTCGTACGAATCCTTGAGTTCATTAAAGACGAGTTCTGAGTTTTCGTTTAGGAAACTGAAATGAAAAATTAAGTACTTATTTTTTTTTGTTTTAAGACACATATATGCACTATATATGTATTGATTAGGTAACCGTATAATAAAGGAATAATGAGCCAAATATTCTATAACGGTTAAAGTTCTTAATCAGTTTGATTCCTTAAATTTAGTTTTTATTGAGCATTAATCAAAGTTCCTTAAATTTAGTTTTCATTGAGCATTAATCAAAATTTCTTTTATAATTTGTTATGATAATGTTATATTTCCATTAGGTACAGGTTCGGGGACGGTAAATAGCCTATAACGAATAGATAGACAAGCAGACGCAAGAATTATAGTTCATCCCGCAAAAAAACATCGGATGGACGAAAAACTCAAAAATAATAATAATAGAAATTAATAATATTGATTTACCATAGTATTGTGAATCTTAGTCGCTATTTTAAAAACTACCACTAGACAAGTCTACTACACTATACATTGACTAAATATTTTAAGATACAGTTATATCAGATAACGGTAAATGTCTGGAGATCTATATCACAGGTTAATTTTACCGTTGATACAGACAAGAATCTCTCACAAAGGCGTTCATTGCTATTAATTATTAAACTTATGATGTAACAAACTTGGATTTTTTTACTGACTTTGACTTTTGATTAGCTTTTCGTAAGGAGAAATAAATAAATAATTATGTATAAAAAAAGTAATCTTACAGATTCATCTGATCTCCGAGCCTTTTGTCACCGTTGAATAAGTTGGAGAAATGCAAGTACACCTTTTTAGGGATGAATTTGACTCTATAGTCCTTTATATGCATGTACGTTTGACCATCTTTCACTACAGGTTCCCCGATCAAATCATGTTTCACTAGTAAATTTACTAAAAAAGAAAAAAATTACATTTTACATATAAATAAATATTGAATAAGATGCTATTTATACTGTACATTATTTAAAAAATATATTTTTAAAATAAGAATTGTTTCTGCTACTCGCTAATAGATGTCGCTACTATAATAATAATTTCTAACTACATTACAGACACAATTGTATTGATAAAATAAGGCGTAATATATAAAATTAATAAGCAATATGTAATAAAATTGTTAAATAATATAAAGTATAAAAAAATGAAACATATACTATAGTATTATATTATGATCTGTGTGGTGAAATGAAATAAGTTTAGTTATACTTTCCGTCGATAGATGGCGCTATAACATACCCATGGTAATATTAGCGATCCCTTTACCCTGTATGGGTAAGACCAGTATCCTGCCCTTCATAATATAGTCAGCAACGAACTCCATTTTTGGTGTGATAGACTCAGTCTTTAGCCGATAGTGCTTGAGATCCGCTCTGCGGATGAAATAATTTTATAATAATGTTTAAAAAATAAGCAAATAAAAATTTTATTTATATTCCAAATAAATAAATAAGCTCTAATTTATAAGGACTACCTAAGATGGAAATCAATTGAATTCACGTAATAAAAAACCGGACAAGTACGAGTCGGACTCACGTATGAAGGGTTCCGTACCATTACCGTATTGGAGCCCCCTTAAATATTGCTTTTATTCTATTTTTTTAGTATTTGTTGTTATAGCGGCAACAGAAATACATCATCTGTGAAAATTTCAACTATCTAACTATCACAGTTCATGAGATACAGCCTGGTGACATACGGACAGACAGACGGAAGGACAGCGGAGTCTTAGTAAAAAGTAACATGAATTTGTTCTTTCATTACTGCGAGAAAGAAAGATAGACAAATAAACAAAAAAAAAACACTTTTTTTAAGATACCACTAATTCGATTTTTTTTTCAGGGAATCCTTGTAAATGCCTAATTAAAAATCCTTCACTTCAGTCAGATATTTGCCTTTTAAGAATAATACTATAACAATATTTAATTCAAACCTTTATCAATACATTCAGATACAAACAAACACACATACGTTTTCTTTAAATAAAATTCTTGTTTTGTATAGTGTTATTCTAAATTTTTGTTATATAATAACCATTTCATTTGACATCACATGATATGGAAAAAAAGAACTAGCTCCTATAAACAGTTTTCTAATTGAGTTAGGGCTTCATGTATTTGGTAACAGTGGTTTTTTTTTTCAATTTTAAAATAATTAAAAAAAATATTTTTTTTATTATTTTAATAATTTACAATAATATTCCGATAATTTATAAAGTTTTATTTTGCTATAATATATATAAATGTTAAGCATTAAATATTTACATAAAATTAAAATATGTTTGTTTTACGAGTATGATAGTTTACGACTTGTAATTTAATATCTAATATTTTATAATAATAGGTTTATAAAATGATCTAATCATTTACAATATAAAAACAAAAAAAAACTAGTTTTATAATAATCTCTCATTGACTATTTATTATAACATAAGCTATATTTTTTTTTAGCGAAAACCAGAGACACAACTCACCCAAATCGCCACAAATACCTGTTAAAACATTTGCAGCGAGCGGGCATCGAACCTGTGTCTCCTCCGCATTGCTAAAAAACCTCAAAGAAAATTATTTTAAGCACCGACGTTATTTTTTTTTCATTAATTATTCATTTAAACGTATAAAAAAGCCCTTGAAAACAAGCACAATTAAAATAGTAGCGAATTTCAATAGCATTTCTCATAAACGACTGAATAGATTTTGATGAGCCATTTCAATTGTATAGGTTTCTATTTTGGAATTAAACATATATTTATAGGTCGAATAATGTCATATATTTATTATATATGGATGTCTTGATTCTTTTAACACAATCAGGAGAGATCATATTTTTTCGTTGTAAAGTATCAAATATTAGATATGCGCAGGCGCAAGTTCTAAAAGTGAACGTAATTTATCTACTTAAAACTTACTTGTACAAAGTTAGTACGGAGTCAGTAAGACCATGTATATTTATGTTTTTATAGTTTTGCGTAATTGTCACTGGTCCTGCGCCTGAGTCGATGTTTATTGCAGATACTGCCAGTGGCTCCAGCGGTGGGACGGAGAGATTTTGTATACCTGAAAAATAATAGACAGAGAAGTGAGAAATCTCACTTTTTATAGAAGAACATATTATGTTGGGACATTAACACACAGCACCATCTAGTTCCATGGTAAGATGGATACCAGATAGTTGATACACTACACATATATAACTTTAAATACATACATATTACAAATACAAACACCCATGATTGGAGTACAAACATTAGTGCATATAAAATGAATGCCCCCAGGCGGACTTGAACCCGCGACCGCTGGCACAGCATGTAGGATCACTACAAACTGAACCAAACGAATTATTTTTATATATTTATGCTTTGGTATTTTGAACTACAGAAGGTCATTATAATTTTATTTATAAGTAAAGAGTATCAGTTATACTTGAATCATTATGAATGAGCCTATTATGGGTTCAACCGGTTAATTGGTTTTGCGACATTGTATTTCAATATGGACACTAATTACAATTCATTTCCTTCTGAACCCGGAACCGTTGAATGATGAAGCGATTTTGGACACATCGTTAATGTTTTACGATTCGAGCAAAAGATAATTTATTATAGCCAACATTTTAGGGTTTTGTAGCTAAAAAGCTAACGCGGAACCCTTATAATTTCGTCATGCTAGTCAGTCTATACGGACTGACATACGTCAGTCATTACTTAGGGACTACAGTATGTATCTAATATGAACATCTAACAAAGTAGCTGAGGGATGAAAATAATAAAGATATATATATTTCTAAATGACTTAAGAATATTGATTTGATTGAAAAACGATTTGTACATAATAATATTATCAGAGGTGCGAGACCTGGGATTTGACTTCACTTAGTTTCCCAAGCGAGCGTGTTACAACTTGGCTATCACTCTACCTTACCTCTGTCTTAGAAGAAAACAGACGATTTACTAATTTAATTATATATATTAATAGCATTGCCCGCGGCTCCGCCCGCGTTCAGATGACCAAAATCCAAATTTTTAGGTTTTACATATTAGTATACTCTTTTATTGCAGTTTTTGTATTTTTTCTCCGAAATGAGATATTTTCCCGCGGTAAAAAGTATCCTATATGTTGACCCGGATAACCAGCTATCATCATAATATCAAATTTCATCAAAATCTGTCCAGTGGTTTTCTCGTGATGCGGTAATAGACAGACAGACAGACAGACAGACAAAAATTCTAAAAACTATAGATTCGGACTCTGTATCGATAATAATGTCTATTTCAATAAGATTTTCCAAAAAATATTTAATGTACAGATTCGACTTCGTTACAATTTTATTATATGTATAGATTACTATAATGTCACGTTTTTTATTATATTTTTACGTTTGAATAAGTGGTCGGTTTTTAATGAAACTTTAAATAACTTTCTTCAGCTTAATTTAAATGGAATGGAATAAATGTCAAGTGGCGATTTAAAACCATCGAATCGAAAGTACTTCTATATGATGTTCTCCTAGCCGATTCCGGCTACGGCGGCTAATCTCATTGAGACTAGCCAACTGCGCAGGAGATATTATAGTGCACAAGTGTACGCGCAGATACAACGTGCACTCTCTTTTCCTGTAACTCTCATACTCCGGTGGGACGACCACTCGACACGACCAGTGAGAGTTAAGGCGCAGGGCCGACGGCTTTACGTGCTCTCCGAGGCACGGGGGTGAAACACCGCCAACTTCCCAACTCCGGGCTGTTACTGAGACTTAGTATACAGAAAGACTCAATAACTAAACTTGGCCCGACCCGGGACTCGAACCCAGGACCTCCAAGTGTGCAGCCGTACATGCGGGCCACTACACCACCGACGCACTTCTATATGTTAACGAGTGTCGCCGCAGGCAGCTGGTAGTATACGCAATAAATTCTCAATTGTTTTTACGCGACATACATGCCCGATTTCACCAACGTCACCTAAGTTTAAGGGATCCCCTATGCATGGTTAGGGGGCTGTTAGGGGACAGTTTCTGTTTCACCGACAGTTAGGGGTCACCTAAATATTAAAAGGCGCCTAAATTTAGGTGCTCGAAATATGGGCATAAAGACGATCGTAAAACGAAATTTAATTTAGGGGCTAGTTTTAAGCTAGGGATCCCATACGTAGGTGGTAGCTTATGGGTTGTTGGTGAAATCGGGCAACAGACAGACATAACAAGTTTTAATAATAATAAACAAAGCAATTAAAGCAAGCAGTTTCTTTAGTGCAATACGCAAGAGGGGTCGCCCTTGACAAATCGCGAAATCTTTCACTGCATAGTGTCGACATCGTGCTTATTAGTATATACTCTATATATACATATATTTGTTTGTACGTTGGGCCATTGATTAATTTTTGAATGTTCTAAATAACTTGTATATGTTGCTCCATGAGACTTTCTTGTGTGTATTTTTGCTGTTTATCCCTCGGGGTATGCTTAATGTTTCGGGACAGAAATTATCCTATAACACTCGCTTGTTGTCCTATTGCTATAGGGGAAAAGCAAGATGTAAAATTTTTGAATTTACTGATCTAGTCTTATATCAAAACATGCACCAGTAAGCTCATATGACTCTTTGACACAATGCGATGAAAGCTTTGCTCCATTGGAATAAAATTAAGTTATATTTTTACTTCAAATATTAACTAACCTAAAAAAAAATGCCTATAAAATTTCTCGCAACGGTAAATTAGTGACGTTCGATAATGTCATGAGGGTAAATTAAAATAAGTTTGTTATAAATACTATTTAGTATAATTTTGTAATGAATGATATGCGAAAAATTCAAAAATTCATTGTTTTTGGCAAAATAAACAATCTATTTTTTTTAAGTTTTAACTCCATTTCAATGTGTTTCAATTTTACAAGTTACTATTTTCACTTAGGGCCTCCAATCCCGTGTCAAAATCATCCTATAACCTACAAATCCCATATCCGTTTCCCTTGCTCTTACTCAACATCCTATGAAGTTAGATGAAACTGAAAATCAGCGCTTCTCGAGATTTCGATCTCTGCAGCATCAGTTAAGCTTACATACTACCTTTGGCCATATAATACATTTACTTTAGTTCAAGCTCCAAATATTGTTATATTTAAAAACTATATAATTTTTTTAAATAAACTATTTAAAAAAAAATGTAAATAAATTATAATAGCAGCAACCCAAATGATATAATTTCAAATTGTTAAATTATAGCAACACCAATTAGATTTTTTTTCTAAAATCATTTGTTGATTTTTGGGTAAATAGGCTGTAATAACTATACAATAAACAAAACGTTAAAAAAACCTTACCATCAGATTTAAAATGAATCCGCGAAATAATAGTTTTAAATAAAAAAACGGTATTTTTTATTCTATTGTAATAAATGATTTTTATTATTACTCATTATTTTATTAAATCCCATTTGAACCCTTCTATATAAATTGAACCTATTTGAAAATCACAGACGGACAGTTGGACTTTATTCGTAAGAGTAGATGCTTGTTTACGATTGCATTATATTTTCAACACCGGCCCTCTGTCCACGCCGCGGTACATTTCCATAGAGAAAGAGGTGATCGGTCAACAGTATGTTGTAATGCAGTGAAAGATCGCACATTCGAGTCAAGGGCGAAAGTATAGATGCAGTCACTGTTTTGATACTTTAGTAACATATTTAGAAAAGCATTTGATTTTGATGCTATGAAGAAATTTAGATTTTTGTTTTGTATTCCATTTGTGCTATTTAAAAGCTATTATTTTATTAAATTGAGTAAATTATTGTTATTAACTTATGTTTATTGGAAAACTCAAATTTGTAGTATTTTAAATTCTAGATATTAGATAAGTTCATATGGAAAAGATGTTAATATGATATGAAAATAACATTTAAATCAAGCTTCCTTACTAATATATGTATCTATCGTATGCTAAATCCATACTAATATTATAAATGTGAAAGTATGTTTGTATGTTTGTTTGTCCTTCTTTCACGTGGAAACAGAGTGACGGATTGGCGTGATTTTTGTGTGAAGATAGTTGGAGGGCTGGAGAGTGACATAGGCTACTTTTTACCGTGGAAGATTACCTCATTCCCACGGGAAAACATGTTATAATACATGACACAACAACGCATCATTCCTATGTATATACATATATAATATATTGTCTATCTAGTCCATATTAACCGTTAAACCTAAGGTTGAACTCGAGTGAAGCAAGGGCGAATCGTTAGTATTTATATACATTTTAAACAACTCTATCCCGTGGGAACCCTTATTCTTCCTTAAACAATCAGAATAATAGTGTTTTCGGAGAGCATGTTTGCAAAGATTTTAATTAGTATAGATTTTGCATTAGTCTGACTCATTGCAACGTCTAGCAGCAATTTGTCCTTGACAGTTCGCACTAAAATGCAGTTGAGAAATTCTCCAAATATTTTAGTTGAAACAAGTATGTTATGCAATATTTACAAAAATATATATGTATACAAATGTCAATTTTATTAGTATATATTAAGTGCTGCACGTGGTTTTACTTATGTGCCTTACAGTATAAAAAAATTCGCAGGTTGTCATTTTTTACTTCAATACCAAAATTAACAGTAGTTTTTATTTCATATCCCGTGGGAAAACTTTTTTTATATCCCTCTTAGTTATATGATAATTAATAGTAAAAATTGTGAGTGAATGTGTGTAGGTTTGTTACTTCTTAACACTGTAACGGCTCAACCGATTTGAGTGAAATTCAAAATGGAGATAGCTTATATACTTAACAAATAAGTTAGTTTCTGCTGACCTACTATGCAAACGAAGTCACGTGTCAAAGCTAGTTTAGAATAACAATAATATTTTAATAAGCTAAATAAAATAAATAAATAAAAACAAACAAACTTGTATTATTAGGTGATTCTACATTTATATAAATATAATTATTTTATATATATATATATATATATATATATATATATATATATATATATATATTAGTTTCTCCGTAAATTTAAAGTTTACCTTTATCATTATATTGAAGATAAGAAAAATGAGAAAGATAATTAAAAAAGGAGAGAAAAGATCTTACCAGCTTTCATCCTCCGCAAAGCATCTGGCACGGCGATAACCAAGCAGTCATTCAACTTGTTGTCATACTGTTTACACCGAATGAAGTCGGATGCTGGAAAAAATATCATGAACTTTGAGATTTGATCTTTGTTATATTATTTGAGAAGTTATAATGCTATAGAGTATATTTATTGGTTAATCTATACATATAAATAATAAATAAATACATAGGGACATTTACACGCAGCACCATCTAGTTTCATGGTAAGCTACGAGTCTTGCGTTATGTATACCAGATAGTTGATACACTACACATATATAACTTTAAAATTTATTACAAATATAAACACCCATGACTAGAGTACAAACCTTCGTCGTCACACAAATGAATGCCCCCAGCGGGACTCGAACCCGCGACCGCCGGCACAGAAAGTAGGGCCACTACAAACTGAGCCAAACGTGTCGTCAGTCAAAAAGATAATAAAACAGTAACTTAGCGAAATCTGTACATGAAATGTTTTTGAAAATAATGACTGTAACATATTGTGTAAAGAATATAGACCGCAAAACAATAGTTTTTAAATTTTTTGACTGTTCGTCTGTTTGTGTGTTTGCGTTACACGCATAAAGTACTAGACCGATTTTGACTAAATTTTGTGTAGTGAGTGACTCAAGTCAACATTTAGGATACCTTTTAATACAAGAAACTCTTTCATTCCCATTTAACTGGTTCTTTCGAGTCATCCTTAGAAATGTATATTGTATAATGCTGGCTAAATTTTAAGAGATACATCAAAACAATGTACCTACTAGAAAATTCTAGGTCTTAATAAGGCCTACAGAAAAATCTTCAATAGCATAAATATTTCTCCTAAGGTACACTCGCAACAACTATTCATATCTATTTAAAACGTGACTAGGGACGTACCCGAGCGAAGCGGGCGTAAGTCTATAGTTTAATATAAAATTTCATTATGTATAAATTGACGATTCAAAAGTCCTTGTAAAAGTTAATCGAATAAGCATATTTTGATTTGGTTTGGATGCGACATTCTCTGGAAATATCAATGCGATTTGAACCCTTATTTTTGCATTTTATCGTTTATTTATTGAAGGAGATATGTATAGACTAGCATCACAATACAGTATTTAGGAGTGTAGTGCTTACATATAAATAAACTGAAGCTTTCTATATAATAAAAATTGTTCTTATATAATAAGTCTAAGGTTGAAATGAAATGAAATGAATGAAATGAAATGAAATGAAATGAATGAAATGAAATGAATGAAATGAAATGAATGAAATGAAATGAATGAAATGAAATGAATGAAATGAAATGAATGAAATGAAATGAAATGAATGAAATGAAATGAATGAAATGAATGAAATGAAATGAATGAAATGAAATGAATGAAATGAAATGAATGAAATGAAATGATAGAAATGAAATGAATGAAATGAAATGAATGAAATGAAATGAATGAAATGAAATGAAATGAAATGAAATGAATGAAATGAAATGAATGAAATGAAATGAATGAAATGAAATGAATGAAATGAAATGAATAAAATGAAATGAATGAAATGAAATGAAATGAATAAAATGAAATGAATGAAATGAAATGAAATGAATGAAATGAAATGAATGAAATGAAATGAAATGAATGAAATGAAATGAATGAAATGAAATGAATGAAATGAAATGAAATGAATGAAATGAAATGAATGAAATGAAATGAATGAAATGAAATGCATGAAATGAAATGAAATGAAATATTCTTTATTGCACACCATTATTTTACATTATATAGTTGAAACAGATTAAAGGAATATAGTACAATAGGCGGCCTTATCGCTAGAGAGCGATCTATTCTAGGCAACCTTTGGGTAGAGAGAAAGAAGAGAGAAGGAAGGGGTGCAAACAATCTTAAAGAGAGATACAATAAATACATACATATACAAACAGATATATACATATATACCATATATATACATACATACATACATACACACATACATACATACATCCATACATACATACATACATACATACATATATACATACATACACACATATAAACATTATACATATAAAATAAAATATGACACCATTTAGCACTTATAAGTTAAGATAATATTCATTTATTAATTTTTTAAATAGTGACAGCGAATCAGCCTGTTTTACTTTATTTGGTAACGAGTTCCACAGACGGACAGATTGGACAGTAAAGGAGCGAGTATAGAAGGAAGAAGAGTGTGAAGGAACTTGTAAAGTTAGATTAAGGTTAGAACGAAGAGAAAAATGGTGAGAATCACTTAATAATTTAAACCTATCTTTAAGATACTGAGGTGTACAGGGATTAAATAGAATATTATATAAAAGACAAAGAACGTGAGTATTTCTGCGAAGACGGATAGGGAGCCACTTGAGCTTTTTACGAAATTCGGAAACGTGGTCATATTTACGAAGTCCAAATATGAACCGAATGCAGAGATTTTGAATTCGCTCAAGTTTATTTAACTGTTCCTCTCTTAAATCGAGGTAACAAGTATCAGCATAGTCAAGAATTGGTAATAAAAGAGTGTTAGCCAAGGCAATTTTAGTGGGAATGGGTAGAAAGTTGCGTAAGCGACGTAATGATGCAACGGCAGCAAACATTTTTCTGCTCACTTCGCCCACCCGTGACTTCCAAGATAATGTCTCGTCCAATATAATACCTAGATTTCTCACTTTATCCATCAAAATCCATTCAGAGCAAGAATCGTGAATACGGATTCGTTGCCGGCGGCCATACAAGTAATTGTGAAACCAGTCAATCACATCTGGAGATATGTTAAGAGAACACAATGTAGCAAGAAGAATATCAAAATCAACAGTGTTAAAAGCGTTACTAAAATCTAATAGTGTCAAAACTGTGACTTGTTGATTTTCCATTCCTAGTCTGATGTCATCTGTTATTTTAACGAGTGCAGTAGTCGTGCTGTGACCATAACGAAAGCCGGATTGCATAGGATTTAGTAGATTATGATTTGAAAGGAAATTACTTAGTTGATGATGTACAAGGCGCTCGAGCACTTTGGATAAAAAGGGTAGAATGGAAATAGGACGATAGTCGGAGAAAGTAGTGGGATTGTTTTTTTTTGGTAAAGGTATTACTTGAGCATCTTTCCATGCGGATGGAAAACAGCCAGTATTAATAGAAAAATTAAGCATGGAAGTTATGACAGGGATCAATATATCTAATAAAGGAACGATAATTTTACGACTAATGCAGTCAGAGCCAACCGCATCAGAGTTAATTGCCACTATGTGTTTCCGAACATCACATTCTGTAAATTGACTAAATTTAACTAAATTTAAGGTTCTTAACTAAGTAATGTTTGTATTTAATTAACTATATTTGTTGATTGTTTAGAACATACTGAGCTCATTAAAATGAGTTTAGACTAAAGAAGTTTTAATGAAAATTTTTCTAAACCGACTTCAAAGCGAATCTATCTACTCGTGTAAATGTTTTTTTTTGTGTATGTCATGTATGCCAGTGGTGAACCAATTTACACAATTTCTATACTCATTTCAAGAAATTGTAAAAAAAAAACTAAAAATTGGAACTAAAAATCTAACTTCGCTTTACTTCTAAAGCGAAGTCATCTCTGAACAAAAAAAAATCATTTACAATTTCTTTAAAGTACCTCAAGTTATTTCCATTACATATAAATTGTAAGTAGTAAGAAAAATGAAGTCTCATTTATTTTATAACCACTTCAAATAATAAAATATAATAAATTTTATGATGTAACCAACAATTTATTTAAAAAATAATAATTTATTTTAATGCGCTTTTTTATTAGCTTGTACTATTCAAAACTTAGATGTCGACTTTGACATACCTATTTCTGATATATGGATTTTTTTTTTCAACTCTGTGAAATTCAGACAACTAACTGGGTACCATCGAGCTGTTCTGATCTGATCTGATGATGGAGCCAGTAGAAGGATAGTGGAGCTACCTATAGTTTTATTAATTTGGTTCATTTTAACAAGTCATAGAATCTACGAGTAAGAGGTAGACAGTTGTAAATTGTTGTTTGAAATGAATTTGGCCCTTTTTAATCCTACTGCTGGATAGGAGCCTGCCATCATTATGAGAGGAATCAGGCCATAATCCACGACGCTGGTCAAGTGCGGGCAGACTTCAAACTCATTTAAAAAACTTGCTAAATTCTCTCAGACATACAGTTTTCCTCACAATGTTTTCCTTCACCATAAGGCGAGTGATAATCATGTTGGAACTGATTCGCACTTGAAAATATAAGACGTTCGAGACCCGGGCATTGAATCCGCTTCACTCGGTTTCCTAAGTGAGCGCGATACCACTAGGCTACCACTGCCTAAATATTGTAGAAGTATTTTGAACAACATTTATGTATATATATACCTATACATATACGCACGTTAAGAAAATATGTTTACAAATCATTCAGCAATACCTGTCACAAATGAATCCTCAAGTAATTTTCCAGTTATTCTTGACAAAAAGTTATTTTTTCTACCAAGTAAATATCCTTTCGTATAAAACTAGGTAAATCCTGCGTTTTATCGTCTACACTAATATTACAATGGTTCGTGAACTAAATTTGGATGTAGAGGTTAATCTCTGAAACTACTGATCCGGTTCTAAATTTCTTTCTTCTATGATCAACTTTGAATTTAGAATTGATTTAGCAATCGTAAGTACAGAGAAAGTTTTTATGAAATTCAATTATAAAAAGCTATGACTTTGTTGAAGCTATAAAGTAATATAGTTTTCTACGTCGATCAAAAAAGAAAATAAAAAATAATATATACTTAAAATAAAAAATACATACACAAAACTAGATACACAATCAGTGACAAAAAATGTCCTCACCGAATGAGCGCTCATTTATACGTTTGAGCGCGTTGTTTTTTTTGTGAAAACAACTCTAAGCATTGTATTAAGATTCAATTAACATTGTTATATGTTAATTTCAACTAGAAAAATTATCTAAACACAATTAGTGACAATTTTAAGTGAACTTTTGAATAGGATTGTGAATTTAAATAATCGTCCAAGCACTTAAGAAAATTT